GTCTGGCTACTCATAAAAGTTTTTTTTTTTTTTTGGATCACTTTTATCATGATAAAACCTGTATTTAAATTGGCGCTCTAACATAAAAATGGTTTGACAAAAGCGATTCTTAGGTTTAAATGAGGTAAGAAGGGGTGTAAAATAAATGACTTCACAGGGGCGCCACACATCCTAAATACATTCCTGCTTAAAAGATATTATTTAATACATTCTCTCCCATTAAGTTTTTTTTTTAAATAAATATTACACTACCGCAGACAATTTCCATATTTTTATGGGACTGACTGGGAAGCAGAGGCATCTGAACATAGGGGTGTAGGTGCCCTCAACTCCTGCCCCCAGGAAACAATTGAGAGAATGGGTTTGCCCCCCCCCCCCCCCCCCCCCCAATGTGTAAGTACACTACACCCCCTCTCCCCCCACTCCCAGTCCCAACTATGTACTGAAGTGTTTTTGTTTTAAGTTTTTGTTTATATTATTTCAGATATATTATAATTAAATTTATTTGCCATTCTGCACATTATAATTATTATTATTACTCACTTGAAGAAAGCTTAGGCCTTTGATGCCTTCTTACCCCACAGAAACTTTCTAAGGGAGCTGAATACCTTTATGTTTTCTTTGTGTCTGTGCCCCTGCTGGGTAGGAAAGGTGATAAAGGAAACTGGCCACCACACCTTTTATGTCATGGCCCTAAACAACAACACTAGCTGGTGTGGGACCACTGTTCACTTTTCTGATGGAACTAACCCTCCAAGAATGCAATGTCCACAAATGTGACAGGTTCAAATGCACCAGCTCCTTTTCCCTTATCTCTTGGTTTACTGGGTTTTGTTTTGTTTTATTTTCTCCTTAAGCTTGGCTTTTGTGATTTTTTAATTTTTCTACACGAAATTCAACTCAGTCAGGAAGCTCAAGAAATTGTTGACTGGTTGGGTCTGAGGACAGTGGTTGGTGTCTTTGAAGAAATCACAGCTCATGAAGATCAGTCTTTTTCATGCCAGGGCATGCAGATGTACAAGGAAATAAGCAAGCCCATTGGCTTGCAGGTAAGGCTACTGAGGAGGTGAGGCTGGGGGCATATGACCAGGCTTATACTGAAAAGTAAAGTATTTGTGAAAACCAAATGAGCACTGTGAATCCGCAACCAGATTAAACAGGGTGTGTTCAAACAAGAGAACAATGCAGGAAACCAAAGAAGAATAACAAACCCACACAAAACCAGAGTTGACACTGTGAGATTTTTAGATGAAAGGATCCAAGCACTTATTGACCCAATGTTTTGTTATTTGTAGTGCAGGTGATCTGTCAACTAAATAACTAACTATTACACCAAGGAATTTCTTCTGTTTTGTGCATCATGGGAAAATGCTGAATACTAAATTTAAAACAAAAGTGGTAATTCACTGATTATTAAACAGCATTACAAGTCTACAGCTATGCACCAGAAAGCAAATCAGTCACAATTTTAACAGCAAGTACCTTCCCTGTAGCAACAAACAGATGTGTTCATCTTACATGCATTGTTTAGGGGGGAACAATCAGGGCTTTCAAGCAAAAATGTTAAGAAACATTCTTAGAATACCGTGGACAAAGAAGACAACAAAACTGTCATTTTAAAAGATGTGAGAATTGAGGATAACTGGCTGGTAAACAGTATCTCGGAAACTGTAACACACTAGCCAAATCAAAATGTAGCAATGACTAGGAATGCACACTAGTGAGAGCATGGTACAGGGTCAAAAAGGCAGACGCCAACCTGTGCTGGACATTAGAGACACTTTGGGCAGGAGAGCGGGAAAGCTGATAAGTCTCTTTCTGACTGGCTGTAATGGAAGCAGCATTCTCTAAGGGACCTGCTATATGATGATGATGAAAGTGCTGCATGGCACTCATACATGCAGACAAAAGAAACAGAGACTTGAGTGCACACAAGCAAACATAGAAATTGACATTTTAGTTACAATACCAAGGATGTAACATGTAGTATCAAGCTAGCCAATGTTAATGTCCCAGAGAGATTGAGAAGGCAATGACATTTAAAAAAAAAAAAAAACATACAACTAACACAGATAAAAGAGGCCAAAGCTGCAAGACTGGATTCTACACATGTTAAAAGCACAGCACAGAATGAGCTAGAATGGAGGAATCAACCGTAAACCCTAGTGGCTTATACACAAAAAGCAGATAATGACTGGCAACTTCAGCCTGCATTTTTCTATTTTCAGCTGTCAATTAATTCAAATACACACTGTGCACACTGTTGCTAGAGAAGTGTTACCCTTGTCAAAGAAGGCTAGACATGTTGGGTCAACATAATTTATTTCAAGGACCTTTTTAAAGGCAGTGGTGCATCAAGCACATGACTGGTTTAGCTAGTTTTGCAAAAAAAATCCTCCTGTTCAACCAGTATCCCCGAAGGGAGAGCTTTAGGTTATAACTGTGACTAGGTTATGTGCACCATATAAAAAGATATAGCACTGATCACCACCAAGTAGCTCTGAAAAGAACTCTTGCAATGTTAATGTGATCACAGGAGACATACCCAAATACTGTCCAGACAGGCGACAACTTTGTCTGCTGGCGAGCCAATGGGCGACCCGGTCGCTGGTGAGCACATGATGTTGGAATTACATACTTTTTTAAAGACCACTTGGCACGAGAAGGATGATATGGCCAACATCACACTGGCCGTCTTTACAGTCGAGGACACTGCCTGTTACCCTTTTTAGGCTAGGTGGATCTGGGGGCCAAAGTCTATTCTGAAAAAAAAAATCTGACCCACTACTTTCAAGCCAGCAGGCAAGCATCTAGCCACTAAAATACTGTGACTCCCTTATGTCCATTACCCCAATGTAACAAGGGAGTAGGGAAGTATAGCATCCTTCTTGTTTTGGTTACATTTGTAAACATCCAAACAGCTGACACCACAAGATGAGACAGGTCAGCCTGAGGCAGAGGTCAGCCTTTAACTCTTTGAATCCCAAACACATGATGCCTGAATCACTCCAGATGCTGAATCTCCTCCTTAGCATCTTCTTCTTCTTCTTCAGCAGAAAGTTATGGTTGGTCATCAATCTCTGGATTTTAGTCTTGTTCCAGAATCTAAGTGTTGTATGCATATCTGTTTGACAGATTCAACTTATCTGTCTGCAGGTTGTTGGTTCCTCTCAAACCCTAGCTTAATATGTTCTCTTACTTTGTTACTTCTTTTTGTATGTGGTCACAACATACTCTAGAAATCTGCTTTGACCAATGGTCTCTACTTTTTTTTTTTAGTTTTGAGAAAGTAATGCACTGACAAATTTTAATTATGGAAATTTCTTCATTGGCAAAACTTTGAAAAGAGTCGAGTAAAAGCATAGAATGAGACAAGACAATTAAAGTGCTGGCTTCATTTACTGGTACAAAATCACATTCTTCTTTTTCTTCTTCTTCACTTTCTGTGTTTGCCTTTAAAAGGCAGTTATCATGTTGTGGTTTACTGCTAGGCTATGATATCTGTACCTTTCAGCCCAACAAAATCTGATTTCAGCAAACGCCTATTAGTCACCTTTTATGACATGCCTGTTAGGGTCTATTCTTGTTTCCACCCACAATGGAGCCCTGGAACCCACACAGGTTACATACATCTTACAGAGCAGTGATTCCCAAACTGTGCACCGCAACAAGCCATGACCTCTTCACAGGGGCCCCGTGAAATATTAAAAGATACAAAAGTTTTATTTGTTTTGATCTTATACATACAAATAGTCATACTTTTACTTAGGTTAGAGAACCGTGGAAACAATTTTTTTGAAAAAAAAGCGCTGCGTCTAAGACAAGTTTGGGAGACACTGTTATAGATTATTAAATGAAACAAGACAATTAAATTGTTTGGCTGGATTCCTTGTGGTATATATGATGAACAACATAAAAGTGTTTGATTTTATTAAGATAAACATCCTTAAATCAAGATTGAGAAGGGGGTGACATTCTACATGATCTGAAAATTGAAGAAAACTGGCTCAGTTTCAGCATGTCTCAGAAACTGAAATACTTTGGTTATATCAAACACCAGTTATCAAGAAAAGTAATTCTTCTTCTTCTTAGCATCCACCATCTGTAAACATCCACAGAAAGTTCTGGCTGTTTGTCCACTTGTGAACTTTGGTCTTGTTCCAGAACTTGAGTTTTGTGTGCACATTCATTTTACCAATCAGTGGAGATTCTTTACTGGCAGTTGACGAGGGAGACGGAGCTAATATGAGCTTGTCCTTAATGCTGGTATGTCGGATCTCTACCAGGATGACTATAGAATTAGGCAGTATTTATTTAAACAACCTTCTCCCCCCCCCCCCCCACCCCATCGTTTTCTTTACACAATATTAGATCTTAATTTTATAAAGTTTCAATTTCATTAACTATTTCCTGGAAACACTGAATATATTAAGGAGGGGGAGGGGGGGGGGGATCTGACGTAAATGAATGATGACACAAAATCAGTACATGAGACAGAAGGCTGTAGACAGACATAATTACCAACGCCATTCAGCATAGACTAGACTATATAGTAATAAATAAAGCCCCAGCTCTTGCCAGAGCCATAAGATGCTAGACATCGGTACTCGATGACTGACATTATGTCTTCCCTTCCCAGGAAATTACCTAACACCAATTTTTAGCTGGGTCAACCTTAAAAGCAACGTACGTTTTTTTTAAACCTTTGCAGGGACCCACGCAAACTGGACTACAGCTTACTTTGCAACTATTTTGTGGTGCCCCAATATAATGGTGCTAAATGGCTATATGACTGAACAGGGTTCCCAGGACTTGTACCTGTTTGATTCTCATCCCTGAGATGTTAACCCTACAGAATACAATTCTTGAGAGTGAAAACTAAAAAAAAATCCAGTGTGGATTCAAACCCAGGAACAATGGGTCTCCTGGAAAGCTTAGGGACTGTAAGAAGGAAAAGAAAAAGCATGCAAGAAAAGCTGAGGAAAAAACATGCGGCCTACCTTTCAGACATTCTTGTCTGTAGTCACATGTACATCCAGGTCCATCGTTGCCACTGACACAGTGGCAGCCTGTTGGGCAGGGGTTCCTTATATCACAGGCTTCTTTGGGCTCAGTGCTAACACCAACACCCTCTAGCATTGACGCTCTGTTGAGCCATGGAAGTATTTCATTGTTATTGAATCCTCATCATTTAATGGCACATAAACAAACATAAGTGATCTAACATGAGTAACCTAACACAATACCAACTATGACAGAAAACTCATACAAGGTACAAGAAAAGGATGTGCACAAGTAGAAATAGATGTCTTCATCAACAACAACAAAAAACCATGAATCATAAGCCTACAAATAATAGGATGGTCAAAATAACAAAAATGCAGAATGTAGGGGTTGAGTGAAATGAAACATAATTAAAATAATGTGATAAGCTCAGAAATAATAGGTGAAGAAAAAAGGAAGATTTGGATGAAGGTACACTAAACATTGATTCCTGCAGGACTAAGAACAATGAAACTATGCAAAAGGGTGATTTTCCAAGGCTCGTGTGGTTTGATCCCCGGAGTGAGACTGTATTGCAGTAACAGTGATGCTGATTACATCTTGATGGTTTTTATTAAAAAAACAAAACACCAGGAATCATAGGCCAACAAACAACTGGGAAAGTCAATGAAACCAAAATTAAAAAATAAAATAAGGAAAACAGGAAAAGACTTTACTAAATACAACATGAATGAAGGAATATGACCATTCCTTTCCTCCTTTGAGCTTTCTTCTTCACCTTCATTTGCCCTTAAAAGGATGGTTAGCACTTTGTGCAGTCTTTGACAGCAAAGCTGCCAGTATCTGCACCTTTCAGCTCAATACATACAATTCTACATACCCCCAATTTATCACCCACTCTGATAGGTTTTTTTTTTTTTTGAGTGGGGGAGGGGGAAGGCAATGAGTCCATTCTTCTTTTCCCCACAATGAGGCCCTGAACCCCATAAAAAAGAAAAAACTCCACACAAGAAGCACACTTTGAACCCACCTGACAGGGATGCAGGAGCAATTGAAATAAACAACGTTCCTAATCTCTCCCTGGAATGGAGTCTCCAACACTTTGGATGAGATGAGCGACTCAACTTGATCATCGATGACACTGCGTGGAACGCCACCAAAGTAAATGTCGTTATTATTATCCAGCTCATCCCAAATATCATCTCTAAAAGCAACCTGCAACAATTGAGAAAAAAATCAGATTCGTTACCATAAAAAACATCACTGTACATGAAACAGAATATCAAAAACATTTTCTCACTGAAAATGTCATTGTAAAAAAGACAGAATTTTACACATTGTTATCACTGAAAGGGGAGCCACAGTGGTGTAACTACTAGAGCGCCCCTGCACATCCGAAGATGGTGGGTTTGTGTCCTGAAGGAGACATACTGGTGTTTTTTTTTTTTTTTTTTTTTGGTTGCCTTAGCTCCCAGGCCAACCAAGTCCTGAGTGGGTGGGTACCAGTATAGTCCTGAGTATTAAAGTTGGCTGAAGTGATGTTGATGACATCACCCATCAACTGCTAATTGGTCTATAAAATATAGGTCTAGCCATATATGCCCAACATGGTGATAAGAAGACTGGACAAAAAGACTGCATGAAGGGATTTCGGGGAGTTTGTCTGAGAGACTTGGACAAGACGGACTCTGTTTTGACCATCAGATGTTTGGGTAATTGACTTTAAGTTAGCGGCGGTTAGTTTGTGATAATGTGCTAGATTGACCGTATTATGATTCATGCGTTAGTAAGCAGTGTAACACCTGTGTTATAGAGAAATAGTTAAGTGTGTTTCATTATAGTGGTTTTCACTCCGGTAGGTACTTAGCTGTGTGTTAGCGAGGTGGTGCACGAAAGGGGGGGTTAGTCAGTAAAGGCAACTTTACGCAGTTATGTGGTCTGTCCAATCACACAATCCAGAGCCGAGCAGTAGCACAGCAATCATAGTGTAAGGTGCAGAAGGTAGGAAAAAGCTTGGACTGTGGGCTGATGGTTCGAACCCGGGTAATGCCTGAGAACAACTGGAAAGCCAAGGTTCAAAGGATGATTGTGAAACACTCTGGCCAGTTGGTGTAGGGTTTTCGAGCCACTTCTAGGGGTAACTGTCGACCGCTTGTTGTAGACTATAACAAAGGTTAATGTGTATGCTCTAACTGTGTTGGTTTAGTTGTGTTTGAGGATAGGCATTTCTGAAATGGAGTTACCAACGCGCTATTTGCCTTGATGGCAGGAACCATGTCTCTGACAGAGAAAGCATATTACTGATTTTGTATTACTGAATCCACAACAGTGAATGATGGAATATAACACAATTTTTACCCCACTAAAAACATCACTGTAAATGAGACAGAATGTCACATAATTTTTACTGCTGAAAACATCATTGTAAATGAGAGAGAATGTCAAAGTTTTTACTTTTGAAAAACAACTTTTTAAATAAGAGAATATTACGCTTTGTACAATTAAAAATGTCAAAGTAGATGAGACAGAATATCAAAGACATTTTATTACTGAAAAAAACTATTGTAAATAAGATAAGATATCAAAGATTTATGTTTTTAAAAACACCATTCAGAAAGAGAAAGTATCACATACCTACTATTGAAAACATCATTGTAAATAAGACATCACAGACTTTTTACCACTTAAAAGACCATGGTAAATGAGACAGTAAATCAAAGATATTTTACCACTGAAATATCCTTGTAAAGGAGACAACAGCAAAGACTATAACATTTAAAACATGACTGCAAATGAGACAGATTAATGAAAATTAGTTATCCATGAAAATGTCCTTGTAGAAGAAACAGTATCACGGACAGCAGCAGCAGTAGCTGTAATAAAAATTAAAATGTCTGTTATTGCCATATTAATAATTGTTTAAGTAACATTGTGGCAGCAGTGAATGTTGCTAAAGCAATAATTATTTTAGGGTAGAAAGAAAAACAGTAAGTAGTGAGTCCAACAATAAATAAAAAATGCCAGCTCACCTTGCTAGATTGAATGCCATCTACCAATAAAGTGGTCTCCATCCGGTTTCTCTTTACTTGAATAGAATGCCAGTTGCCTTTGTTCATGTTGCTCCCGAGAACAATCTCTACATTTTGTTCCTTCTGCTCCACAAAAGTCACCCGGAGCTGGATGGCACCTCCAATTATTGCAACCTTGAAGACAAACACAGGAAATGGCTCACAAAAAGTCTCAGGACAATAAACAGCAATTTAAAGATAACTTTAAGTAAGTAAAGGACCCTTTTCACGATTTTGGCACATCAGGTAAACAATGTTTTTATGTGTCAAACGTCTCTCGAAAGCAAACCATGTACTGGAACAGCAAGCCTTCCTTTCACAGCATAAGACAATCCCAAATCAGACCCAAAAAAACATCTCCTACAAAGCAAATTCATTCCCACCCTATGTTACCAGTGGCAGACTTGGTCAATCAAAACAAACCAGAAAAGCAAATACTAACCATGGAAGTGAGATGTCTGAGAAGGGCTGCAGGAGTGACTAGACGAGATACAATCAGAAATTAGGATTTTGGAGAAAAAATATGGTACAGAACCAATACTAAATTACATACAAAGACGGCAAATAAAATGGTTTGCCAACCTAAGGAGTTGTGATGCTGTACCATACACGGCATACACCAAACAAGGAGAAGGACAGATCAAAAACAAGATGAAAATGAAACATCAGAGAAACTACGACAGCACACTGTGTCTATGGCCATGGTAGCCAGACAAGCAGGAAGCAGAACCATATATCTCTCTGGACATCTCCAGCAGTAAAGAGGAAGTGAAGAAGAAGAAGAACAGCACTTAACAGTAGGATGTGCTCAATATCATACTACCACTATTACTACGCAGGACGTTTCCTGGTACCCATTTAAGTTGGTACAGACAATAGCGCTAGAAAATTATGAGGATGAGCCATACATCATCTACACTCTGGCTATTCTAGAACTTATTTTAATCAACTTAACTCTTAGGAGACAGAGCCTTTTTGGAATTTCAATGCTAAAAAAGACGGAGCCTTCAGGAGGGGATTCTTTTATTTTACACCCAAAAAAAAGATTTTTTTTAAATTTCAAATAATGCGTTTAATTAACATACACAAAACTATAAATATTGGTGTAGGAAATTGAATGAGTTAACAGAATATTTATTATTTAAACCGAAATCTCAACATTTATTCAAATCTTCTTCTATTTATTCTTTCGTTCGTTTGAAATAGATTATCTATATCTGCAATGATGTCTCTAGTATGAACTTCACTGTCTTTTGTAATTTACTCAGCAACCCATAAAGTTTGACTTGCAAGGATGTTTCTTTTTGGCAAAAGTTTTGCCTTGATATGTTGTATTTGGGACAGTCTTAGAGGACATGATCTGTTGTCTAAGGTGCAAATCCACAGCTGCGCATGGCTGATTCACCGATTGTAAATTTTGTATACATGTGGCTGTGAAGCCAATTGAGTCCTGTGTTAACTATTCCGATGATGTTCTTGCATATAGGCAGGGGCGTGACAAGCAACTGATAGCCCAAGAGCTACAGGCAACTGTAGACAAAGTGACTGACTGGTATGCAGAAATGGGTCATCAGTTCAGAAAAGATGGCTGTTTTGTGGTGCTACCTGGACAATAGAATTGTAAGAGCTAATGTTCCAAGCCTCACAATTACTGACAATAACATCAAAAGAGAAAGCAAACTGACAGAAGCCTGTCCTTCAGGGATCATGTAGAGGCAGTTGAGGTGAAATGCCATAAAGGACTCAATGCTCTCAAGATTGGGGCAGCAATGAACATGGAACAAAGAATACTGTTCACAATGTTCTAGCATGTGATCCTGTTGGTGATAGATTATGGACTTGGAAAGCTTACCATATCAAAGAATCAGCTGACGAAACTTGACCGCATTCAGAATGAAGCCATGCGGGTAATTCTGGGATCTACAAGAGATACTCAGGTAGTATGTATGAGATATAAACTTGCGCTGCCTACTATTGCTGATAGGCTCAAAAATTCTGCAAGCAAAGTCATATCTCAGAGTAGCTGCATACAAGAAGCACCACCTGAATGAAGCCCTGGGTAGAGCTAAGGGTCATAGACTAAAAAAGAGGAAAGTCTTGGATGGCACAAGCTGAAGACACAACTAGACGTGTGCAGGCTCAATAAATTTAAGCGAGGAGAGGAGTGGGTCAAAGTGTCTGACCAAGTTTTCGACTTGTGTAGGGTTCTTATCACTGGTGCTGCAGAATCAGAAGTTCAACAAATGATTCATGACAATTCCCGCCCATCTGATGTGATTATTTATACAGATGGCTCTGTGTTGAGGGGCAGACAAAGTGCATAGGGGTTCATAGCAGAAGCGAATGGACGCCACTTGGTACAGCAAACCTGGCATATAATATCACAACATCTAGTTTGAGAATCGAGGTGGAGGCAGTCACTGCTGCCTTCCGCTGGCTTAAGGATCAGCTGTACACAGATAACGTGATTGTAACTGACTCGCAGAGCATGTTAAGAAAGGTGGAGACAGACATGCTCCATGCAGAGTGGTAAGCATCATTTCAGAGGCCCAGGGTAGTTAGCATCCTTTTGGATATTTTGTCCAGGTCATGCTGGTGTGTTGGGACATGATGTATGACAAGCTGGATGTTGTGAGGGCTCTTTTGGAGTGACTGAGCAGTGCAGAGGCATAGATAGATCATTACGGTCTGAGGAGTTTGGCGCTGCAAGGAGTTACAAGGGGATCTGGCCGGCGCTCAACACTCAAGGGAAAGGCGAGAGGGGTATACATTCAGACAGTTACTGGTGCCATCAGAATTGAAACTCTTTGCTTGCTGCTAAAGATGGGGACGGAGTGCTTATGGGGGTGTCCCGAGTGCTGTGATGTTGATTCTTAATTCAACATTCAAAAAGATTCTATGGAACAAGATCTGATGCACAAGATTGAGTTTATATTTTACTTATACATGACTACGTGGTTGATGTTCATTTGTGATTCATTTTGGATATATTTTAACGAGTTTTCCCTTGAGTGCCATGGTGGTTAATTTAAAAATTATTATTTCATTTTACTAATTTCTGTAAACATCCAATCTGTTTATTTACTGATATTTAACTACTAACACAGTTATTTATTATAGCAGTATTCTGTTATTATTTCCCCAACAATCCCTGGTCACTTAGATGTATAATATGTGTATGTTGCATGGTAGCTGAATTAGTATAGCATGTTTTAATGTGTTACACTTGAGAAATTAATAAATTGCAATACCACCCATTGGGTCTCTGAAGCTAAACTCCCTGGTACTTAAAGAATTAAATGCATGTACTTTAACAGAACAGCCGCATACCAGATAATTTTTGTACATACCTGAAGATTGTTGTATTTTCCATAATAATTTGAATACATCAGCAATCCCTCTTCCTGTGTTGTTCGAAACTCAAACATGATGGATGCATTATTGCAGGCGTTCCACTTGGAGTACCGAGCAAAGGTCTCCTTCTCACCAAGGAATCGAACACAGTCACTGATGTCCACAAACAAACATACGACTACTAGGAAGTTTAAACAACATTCCTCCCCATGGTAATCCAGATTTATTGGAATTTGTTCTCAATCCTAAATTTCCAGAACTGTGAGGTCGTGATGACCGTGTCTTTCTTTGCAGAATAGACATTGTTTAAGCCTTTGACCTTTCTCAAGTTCCGTGTTTTAGTTACAAAACTGGGTTGAAAATTCAGTCATGTTGTTTTCTTGATTACCTAAAATGTGTAATAAGAATAAAGAAGCATTAATGCAGGTTTGGTTTCATTAGTGAAAGATCAATAAACTGTGCTGTTTAAAATTATTCTAGGACAAACTAGTAAGCATGGATAAAGAATTTTATTGTTTAAAAGCGTATGCTAAAAAAAAAAAGAAATAGAGAAAATCACAGTTAAATGATTTCACAGAACATCAAAGAATCAAATGGTTTGATCACCTGGTCAGAGTGGAACAAAATCAGCCAGCATCTAGAGCAGGGCTTTTCAACTAAAATTATTCAGGAGCCACACAGAAAGATCATTAATACAATAAAACTGGCAGTGATCCGCGTGCCCTTGCTAGGTCTCTGCAGGCCAAATTTGGTGCACGGGTCACCAGTTGAATAGCCCTGATCTAGAGTGTACTACATGAGAACAATAGGCTACAAGGCAAGAGGGTGACCAAGAAAGTAATGGGTGGGAGAAGTAAGAGAGACACTACGAAAATGCAGTGTGACATTAACACAAGCTACAGAACTTGCAAAAGGCAGGGGAAACTATATCTGACTCCTCTCTGTGATGCCTTGAGACAAAGGAAAAATAAGAAAAAGATCACTTTAACTGGACTTCAACTGGTTTCTGCATAAATTGTCAGTCTCATCCAGCAGGAAATCACATAGGGAGAATTTCAGAACAGTGTCTGAACACCGTAGAACTGGGAAGGATCAAAATGCTATAAGTGGGTATTTGGCTATCCTCCGAATAAAGGTCCTAAATTATCGAGGTGGAAAAATACCCTAACAGGGCCTCAGTCATGTGTCAATTACGCACTTCCGGGACTATAATGCCACCACCGAATTGTGAACTTCTGGCAACTTCTGCCACCGCTGAGAGTATCCCCCACCCTGCTCACGCAGTGTTGATTGGGGCTGAACTAGATGATTAGGACTCACGAGCAAATAAAATGAAGGAAGCTGCAGGAGATGCGGTAGCTGCAGCTCCTGAGTCCCAACCATCTAGTTTAGGATAATTTAGGACCGTTATTCGGAGGATAGCCGGGTAGTTTTCTAATTTTACTATAGCTCTGTGGCTACTGGGAAGCCCCAGGAGAGTAGTGGCCAGATACTTGCTTGCCAGCTCGAATGTCTCAGGTTTGAATCAACTTGGATTGTTTTTCGAAACTGACCTTGGCTCCCAGGTTGAGCCAGCCTTAAATAAGGATCAGGAAGTGTCGTGGGAAGTGAAGTTGGTGACCAGCGTGATACTGACCACATCACCCATCGAGTGCTGACTGGTCTACACAAAATATCTAGCATCACATATGCCAGATGCAACAGGCTTAAACATGTCCTATTACTTTTTTTTTTTTTACTTTTTTCTGTGGCTACTTCAATCTGAGACTGGCCCCATAGTATCTGGAAAAAAAAACTGAAATAGATCGATCCTCTGTGGCTGACACAAAGCGGACTGGTCATTTGTCTATCACAATTACTCCACACAACATTCCTTGAATATATCATGTGTGCCGACCTTTGGGTGACACTGGATGAACTGATGTTCTGGACACTGCCACTGCTGGTGGGAAAAAAAAACGAAATGGTTTTGACTGAGTATTACTCTATAGTCTGCACAAATGATGTCATCAACTTAATTAATGTTGTGTGGAGTAACTGCGGTAGACGCAGGGCCAGTCAGCTTTTTATTAACCAATAAAGTTTTCCTTTTAGTACTCTTCACACACTCAAGAAACTACTAGTGAGTACTAAGTATTTAAGTATATAAATATAAGTTAAACAACTGTTGATTTTAACTTCTTTTAATTGACTGATTTCTAGCGGGATGCACGTAACAAAACTAGGTTTGACACAACTTCTAAACTGACCAACCTTCGTTAATATAAAAATAATAAAATCAATCTTCACCAGACTGAAATGACCCTAGAGACAAAAAAAATACAGTTCGTGCTAAACTGAACTGCATGTTTTAACATAAGGTACCGACCGTACTCCAAGAAATAACTGTCACACATGTAATCCAGCAAGTAAGCCTAGAAGGGCATCCACAGACCTGTTCTAATGTTAAATATGTTTAAATGATTGACTAACTCAGAATTATTTGAACATCCAACCCCAAACCTACGCAAGCCTGAAATACCGGCAGTCGTGTTTGTTCATTGAGTAATGTATCTACTGTTTAAACCTGACAGAGCAAACTGGGTCAACACCAATGTATTTTCTCTCTCCCGCTGTGTCGGCTGGTGTCATCTCCACTTGTTTTCTCTCACCTGTGATATTTTACCTGTAATTTCTCAAATTATGATATCAGAACGCCGTTGTGCCTTATGTCGTTTCCTTACAGTTGTGTAACGAACGTTAACTAATGCTTTTATCTGCGGAAACACCTGTGTGTAGGTGACACGGGACTACACGATGTTACCTTTCAGGTTGGGCTAGGACAGGGACACTAGTGTGTTGTCGCCGTCTATTGATACTTTTCAGGTAACAGGTATGCGGCGACCCAACTAGTCACAGAACAGGTATTGCGCTGGCGTCTGCTCTCTCTGATTCACATTTCACATACCGAAAACCCATCCCTACAAAGTTAAATTTTTTTCCTTTAGAATTAAAAGAACTCATATTGGTAAGGTATTAAGTTTTTGATGTTGCCTTTGTTAAACAGTCTAAAGCTGGGAAGTGAAGCAAATATTTGTCATCAAGCGCAAGGTCTGGAACTGTTCGGACTGGCCAGAGGTCAGCCTGCCCGATACCAGTTGAACCCCTGATGACCTTACAGCTGGAGCTCTGCCTTAGAACTGTGAAATGTAATCAACAAGTAGACAATGTATCGATTGGCACACATAGAAAGAAGTAGAAAGAAAAAAAAATAACACATTAAACAACATCAAAATCGAAAGCTATAGTTGTCGTGACGGGAATGGAACTTGTCACCTCAAAATGGCGGGTGCGCCTCGCTATGGAAACAAGTGTACTAAGAACATGGCCGGAGCGGCTAGGCGCTCGCCTGCGGATCGGAAGGTTGTGGGTTCGCTCCCTTATTTCAAAGTGTATTACTATATTTATTTGTCATTCAGCGCATTATTATTATTATTTTGTGTTTTAATTAATAATTGTGCTGAATGGTACAATATAATAATGTACTTGAGTAATAAGAAATTGTGGTTTCTGAGACGAATGTTACTTTGGACGGTCAGAGTAACTAACAACTACTGCTAGAAAGAAGCTAATGAATGTAGATCTCTTTATACAGCAATAAGAAAGAGACAAACACTGTTTTTGGCCACATAATGAGAAGAGAGACATTGTAGAACATCGTGACAACTGGAAAGATCAATGGAAAAAGGGGTAGAGGCAGACCAAGAGAGACGATGCTAGATGGGCTAAAACGATGTCATGGATGGATATCATCAATAGAGCTGTTCCAGATAACTAGGGATCGTGATCTGTGGAGACGCATGAGCGGCTACGCCGGTTGGCAGGGCACATGATGATGATGAAAGATGAAAATGAAATGTTTGAGCAATTACTTTGAAAGAAAATGTATATCCGTGGTTTGGGGGGGGGGGGGGGGGTAAACCAAGGGACGTGAGACACCAGATTCTGGCGCCTATGTGAACAACTTCCCACACTTTTCCTCACCACCTCAGTCTTCTGATCCCAATCCTCCCTTGTCATTTCTAGCCAAGAAACAAACTGTGATCTCTACAATGACACATATACTTTTACGCGAAGCACAGACTGTGGAGGAGAAACTAATAATAATTATTATTATAATAATAATAGTAATAATAATAAGAAGAAGAAGAAGATGAAGAAAGTAGTATCAGCTGTAATAGTAGTGGTGGTGGTTGTATAGTAGTGGTGGTAGTAGTAGTAGTAGTAGTAGTAGTAGTAGTAGTAGTAGTAGTAGTAGTAGTAGTAGTAGTAGTAGTAGTAGTAGTAGTAGTAGTAGTAGTAGCAGTGGTGGTTGTGATGGTGGTGTTGATGTTACTAACAGCAGTGGTAGTAGGAGCAATAGTAGTAGCAGTAGCAGCAGTAGTAGTTGTGGGGGTGATAGTAGTAGTGGTAGAAGCAATAGTAGTAGTAGTGTTAGCAAAAGTAGTAGTAGCAGCAGCAGTAGTAGCAGCAGCGGAAATAATAGTAGTAGCAGCAGCAGCATTAGTAGTAGCAACAGTAGCAGCAGTAGTGGTAGTCACATAATCTGTATAATCGACATCATCGGTAGAAACACCAGATAGCTTTCCCTACGCGAAAAGTAAAATAATTTCCAGCTAATACTTACAATAAAACACTTGTAACTGGGGGTAGGTCTATACCAGCATAAAACAGCTATATATTCACAAATCTTGCATATGCAGTTTAACCACTACAGATGACTCTGAGAATAACCCCTGTTCAGACACCGAATTTATATAACAACCTACATCTCAGGCCTACGCACGCGAGGTGCGACCAACTTCCTACCACTCTTTTGAATTCACGACGGTTCTTATAATACTATCTTGTGTGTATTTACATGTTACCTATCACAGAGTGCAACATACGCAGAGCACTGATCACGCTTTAGAGCTCCCTTGTCGACCCAGCCTAGGCTCCAGGACCTGGGTGTAGGGGTGGGAACCTTGGGACCCCTTGAGCTCCCCCCCCCCCCCCAAAAAAAACAGGTGGGGGAGGGTAATAATAATAATAA